TTCCCTCAAATATACAGTGGGAAGACAATTTAGTGAGATACCCTTATCATTTATTGTGCTTCTCATTTCTGTATGAGTTATCTGTCATGAAGAAGCAATGGAACAATGGTACAAGTAAAAATTATTTTAACACAATGTTTCACTGACAGGAGGAGGTGACAGCAGCTTTAATAATTCCAGCAGCTGGACAATGAGTTGGCTGCTGAACATCACTAGGTAGGAAAAAAAAATAAATGTTTGAATAGGACCAATGTCATTGTTTAAAAGCCCCATGAGCAGGTGTTTGCTCTAGTGGGTAGGAAGCTGCTACTTAATATTAATTCTCAGATGAAACAGCATATGAACCAGGTTTCTAAATACTCAGAAAAACTTAAAATTGCTGATTTCTCCCCTTAGCATGCCTGGAAAGTTTACTTCTGTTTCTGAGAATCACAGCTGCTCGAAAGGGTAAGTTAATTTAAGATGGCTTTTTTTTTTTTTTTTTAATTATTTATATCAATTTTTAAGATTTCACATTTGGAAAATGATTCTGCAAAATATCTAAGAATATTGTCATTGGAAACCAACCATTTTGTATCCATCAGCCATTCCATGAACTTGTATTCTCTAATTCTCCAGTATCCACTTTCAGGGAAAACTTGCTCTTTTGAAAGAGAACTAACTTTAGAATGCATGCACTGTTTTTGTGGATGGGCTGTCCTGAACTCTGAAGCTTTTCTAGGTGACAAATGCAGAAGAAAGCAGAGTTTATTTTGAGCCAGAGTTTATTTGAGCTCCTCTCCTCCAACCTCCTCAGCTCATTCCCCCACGCTGGCTGACAGGGGCAGATTTAGGTTTGTGTGGCAAATGAAGCCTCTAAAATCCAATATTTTGGGGGTTTTTTTAGAGACAAATGGACAAGGAGAGTTCAGTCACTCTGATCTAGCTCTTCTCTGGGACTTGCCCTCTGACTTTGATGTCATTAATAAACTAGGTTTAAAATATGAGTTTTATATTCTAGTCTGGTTCTCTTCACTAAGGAAAAAAAAAATCTGCCATAATTTGTTTGATTCCCTGTTGATGAAAAAGGTGACACTTCAGTTTGTTGCCTCAACATATTTCATTACAAGTTCTAGTGTCAACAATAATAGAGATAAACAAGCAGCAGAGCTAAATCAACTATTCTCAGACTCAAGGTTTAAATCATAAATTAGGTGAATTTTAAATGATCATTTCCATACCAAAAGAGCTGAGGATGAGAGGAAGAACATACCTTAAAAATAACATTGATGTTTCCACTTGGAGCATTCGCATTGATGAAGGAGATTTTCAAGGGAAAAGCATTGGATGTGAAATAAGAACATGACTGCAGGGGAAAGCAAGATGAGACAGAAGAACAACAGTGTCACATATACAAACCAGCAGGCCAATACAATACCAATGAAAAAAAAAAAAAAGCCAGCTTTAAACACTGCTCAATAGCAGTGGCAGAAAAAAATAAAGAATTCTTGATATTGGTGACTGTTTCATTGGGTGTGAAAAACAAGAAATTCTTTTCCCCAGACAACTTGCTTCACTTAGATATCAGGCCATATGAACAGATAATATTTTATGTGCTAATTGTTTCTTCGTTTGCACCCAGGCCTATCAACAATAAGCTTTGCCTGGAGCTGGGTGGATGAATTATGTAAGATTGATCTAATGAGTCTTAAAGCATTGAAAAGCCTTTGGTCCCATTGTTTTCTGAAAAAAAACCCAGCCCTGGCCAATCAGCCATGGGAACAAAGAACCTGCTCATTTCTTTGGTGACATCCCCTTGGTTGAGGACCCAGGAAATGTTGAAAATAATGCTCTATTTTATGTGGAATTTATCTTAATTAAGCACAAACTTTCATGCTCTCCAGCTCCTTCCACCTGAAGATCTCAAAGAGCTTCCAAAAGCATTAAGGAGCCAATCCCTGCAAATCCTGTCAGAGTTTGGGGTGGAATTATTGTCCTTATTAAAAATATCCAAGGAGGGGTGCTGGGGAAACCCCTCAAACCCAGCTAAGACAATGGAGAATTCATGGTCTGGTTCCTGGGAATAATGAGCACCCACAGGAGCTGCTGCTGTCCTTGCAGTGTCAGGGAGCATCATCTGAGCTCCACCAGACACAGCTGCCTAAGCTTTTCATCTGAGCATCTCAAAGAGTGGCACAAACCTCCAAATATTGCAAATATTGCAAATATTGCAAATATTTCAAATATTGTCTGAGCCACAGCACAGCTCTGTGATGGGCCAGAGCCATTTTCAGCTATGAGATCCCAACCCCCCAGGGAATTTTGGAGATTTAAATGTCTCAGTTTGCAGATTTAAATGTCTCAGTTGAGTGCTTGAAAAGTTCCTGTGGCTCTGGTAGAGCTGGGAGCAGGGCTTGCTACTGGTAAAATCAATAGATGACACCAAAATGAATTAAATTTAGGTAATTATAAGCACTTAAAAGTTCTAATTTGCATGATTATACTGACGTGCACAGTCCAATCAAGAAACTCCATGTATTTATAGAAAGATAATGGCTTATAATGATATAAGGAAAATGAAAAGAAAAATACCTGCTCAGATCATTACATTTAAACGTTTTTGTATCTGTCCAGCCAAGCTGGTGCAGTACAAATAGCAGGATTTTATGGTGAGATACCTTTCCATTAGTCATTATTTGCAAAAGCCTGAAAGCAGGGAGAAGCAGCAGGCTTCAAATCCTTCTGACTTGCATCACACACAATTCCCCCAAGCCTGTGGGGTGCTGCAAGACTTCTGTTCTCAGCCAGATCAAGGCTGAACTGCAATTATTTGGAGAAACACAGGTCAGAGGCAATTGAAAGGATCAGCACCTCTTAGAATCAGGTCTACTATGGATAATGAGCCAGAGAACAAAAATAGAGCACAAATTGCTGTAATTAGGCAGTTAGAACTGGTAATATATATGGCTGCTCAGGTTTGTTTTTTATTTCATGCTGGATACATTTCCCTTCTCCAGAGATGAATCAGCTTACTCCTGGCATGATGTTGTTTATGAAAATATTTTTGAGCAATGAATAACTGAATCTCAGTGCTGCAGTCAAAGTCAAGTCAAGTAACACTGAAGAGCATTGCTGTTTCCTTTATCCTCAAGTCATTTTTAATAGGGGTCATAGACACAGATAAGCTAGTGTGAATATTTAATATGTTAATATTTTAGCAATTCTCAGCAAACAGAGAGCTGGCTCCAGACTTTCTGCTGCTCCCATCCCTGATATGAGGGAGTCTTGGATGGGAAAGCACTGATCACCAAGGGCTACCTGGTGGGAGCCAGCTCCCAGGTGCCCTTGCCATTCCCAGCAGGGCAGCTGGGTTGGGAATGGGGTGCTCAGAGATGAAATCTCTGGCTGGGGTGACACACAGGCAGCACCTTCCCCACCCATCCTGTCCCCTCTGCCTCAACCTTTGGAGGAGTTCAGGCTGGTGGGATTTATGCTCAATACCACTGTGACCATTTCCCAGTCGAGGCAGGCATTATCTCCTTCTCCCCTTTATGCTAAAAAAAAAACCCCAAAAATTGAGAATGTAACTGGTGACAACTTACATCTGCCTCTATGCCCTGCACGACGAGCGCGGGGCTCAGGGGGAGCCGGCAGAGCTTCACCTGCTGCAGGAACTGCTGCAGCCTGCTGAGCTCCACGTGCAACACCTCCTGCAGCATGGCAAACAGGAGAGAACACCAAAAACAGCTTATTTATTCATTTAGTTGTCTATTTATTCATTTATTTATTCAGATTGTCTTTCTGGACTTTAAACAAGCAATGCAATTTCCCAAGCCGGCAGCAGCCGTGTGGCCTTAGAGCAGCTTGTGAGGTCACACTGGGGTATCAGAAATAAGAATTGCAATTTTACTCCACATTGATGCTTTTATTTATTTATTTATTTATTTTCTCCTGCCCAGATGTGCTGCCAGCTCAAAGCCCCATAGGTTGGGATGGAAAGAGCCTGTGAGAGCATGGAGTGACAGGAAAGAGGAGAGTGGCTTCAGATTGAAGGAGGGAAAGTTTGGATTGGGTGTCAGAATAAAATCTCTACCTGTGAAACCAGGCTGGATGGGCCAACCTGGTCTAGTGGGAGGTGTCCCAGCCCATGGCAGGGGAGTGGAATTAAAGGATTTTTTTCAGGTCTCTTCCAACCCAAAGCATTGTGGTTCAATGCCCTTCACTGGGGTTGATCAGCCTTGTGTTGCTCTGCTGTACCTCATGGGGTTTATTGCCTTCCCTAAGATCTTCCCAACTTGCTGCTTGTTGCCCCAACTCTATGATCTCCCTTGCCTAACTCTGTCAAGTGCAAGGTTTGGGAGCTTTATCACAGTAACTGCAGCCTTGAGATTAATCTCTAAAATCTGAATTATGCATCACTGATGTATAATGTATTACTACTATTTCTTTCTCTTTACATGGATTTTCCTTTTGCAAATATTTTTGTCTTTTTACTTCTGTGTTTGCTTTGCTGATCTCAGTAGCAGCACTGAGAGTTTTCTGAGAAACCCTTTGAAAATCTTTGAGTCCTTAACAAGGCAGAAAGATTCATGAGACCATTCATGATAACCAGCAGTGGCAAGTATATTTTTATTTGGCTTTCTGCTCTGCCTTGCTGTGATTTCCACAAGAAGCAGTTTTATACACCAGGTAAATAACACCAGCTGTCCTGGAAAATTAACAGTTCTGAACTGGAAATGCACTTATTCAGTGTAAAAGCTGCACCCACTGCAGAAGACAACTGCAAGTTTCTAATGCCAAGGAGGCAGCTCTGCAGATCTCAGTGATCATTGCTGAGAGCTACATTTGAGATTTTAACCACATTCCACTCTGCTTGTCCTTGCTGAGAAATGAGGATATGTCCACCCTGCCAAGAACAACTCTTAGCAAAGCTTTCAAGAAACGCTGCAGCTCTACAGGAGTCAAATATTTTGGGGTGAGGTGCTGAATGTGAGCATTCCTCTCAGTGAAATGACAATCAGCTTTGGTGCCATTATTTCTGGCCACCTCCAAGTCCATTTGAGAAGCCACTGATGAAGGAATTGAAATGGCTTCAAAGATCTGCAGACCTCAAGGGTTAACAGTGATGAGAGTTGTCCCATTAAATATCTGTGTTACCTGTTTTCAGAGCAGAAAAATATGTATAAAGTTTAATCTTTGGTTTCTTTATGTAAAGGGTATTAAAAGAAAGAGGAATCACCTTAGAAAAACTAAAATTGCCTAGAGAAGCTCAGAAGGAAGGGGCAGTATTTTTTAACAAACCTTTCTTTTTGGGTCACTGGCAGCTTTCACTTTTGTGGCAATGTCTTCCAGAATTCGGAGGAGTTTTTCTTCCTTAGAAAACTCATTGTTCAGGGCTTGTCCAGCACAGAATTGGAGAGCAGCCAGTAGTTTCTTATACCACATTCTGAAATGAACTTCGTTCTGTGCATTCTTCAGCAGCCTGAAGGAAGGAGGGGGAAAAAAAAAAATAAATCCGTGTATCTAAAAATGAATTTTATTATATATCTGTTCCAGCAGGAACAATAAACTCCAGACTAATCTACTTTTGGTCACTTTGGGCAGCAGAGAATGAAAAAAAAAATGTTATTGCTTGTAGGCAATGAGACTCAAGTCCCATTTGATAAATAACGAGATTCCAAATCTATTGAATCAACAGAAAAGTGTCATCTCTAAGTGTCATACATAGTGTAATGCCTGTATTGCTTCTTATTTCTGCAAGAAAAGTCAACAAAGTGAAAAGAAGTGGCATTTTTGAAGTCCAGTGTTAAATATATATCCCTAAATATTTCTTTCTCCTGCTAGTTCATTTATAGCAGCAGGCACATCTTTCAGCTAGGAGGTGCATTTAAAGACTGTTTCAGTCTCAGATGTACCATCAATTCTAGAAACTTTCACTATTTTAAGCTGAGGAGACATTTCTGAAATTGCCTATACTGCTAAAAAGAGTGAAATGAGCCCATTTTATTCTGTTCTTTACTGGTAAGTGCTGGTCTAAAGAAAAACTCAGCTTTTAGCTCTTCTGAAGCTTGCAAAAGCTTTGGAACTGGAGTTACTGTCAACATAAAAATCAGAAATAAAACCAATCCCATACTCTTTTTAATAATAATCACCATGCAATCTAATTACACATTTATTTGGGTCAGGAAAGCTGAGGAGTTTAGAGGTTTTTTTTTTTTTTTTTAGTTAATCAAATTGATCATTGGGAAATGTTTTCTTTATGTGGGCCAGAGGTTTTTTTGCACACTGTTTGATTTATTTTTGCAAGTGTAGATGGAATCACCAGCTCTGTGTTGTTGTTAGAACACCCTGCCCATCACCTGGGATTTCCCTTGCTTTTGTGTGAGAAAAATCAGCTTCATCCTTAAGGACATCTCAAACCTTAAATTCCTCATAAATGTCTGACTCTGAATGCAGTTTCCCCGACCTAAAAAATAATGCTGCTTTTGACAGGACAGAAATCAGAGAAGCTCTTGACTTTCAAGGCACATCACATGAATGAATGTCACATATGAGTATGTCACAAAGCAAAAAGCAACAAGAAATTACTCGAAGCACTGATATTTAAGGGTGAAAAACTCTAATTCCTCTCTTCAGCTCCTTCAAATCATAGATAAGGCATTACAGTATTGCCACTGCAGCACAGGCCTCTTTTGGTGATCAGGGATCTTTTAGGAAGCAATGATTTTTCTAGCTCTTCTTCTGCTATATAATTCAAGGCAGAACAATATCACCTACTGGTTTCTGAAAAGCCTTTCCAGTTGCACAAAACCTCTGAACATGTGAGGATTTAAAAATCCTTAAAGAATGAGTGGTGTTTCCATCAGAAATGCCTAGACATGAAAGGGAAGTGATATGAGAAGTTTATCATCAACACTCTCTGGAGAAGTCTGAAATTCCCTTTTATTTTATTTATTTTTTTTTTTTTTTGGTCCCCTGTAGACTAGTAAAAACAAATAATTACAAATACAAGCTGTCATTGCAATGCCTGGTGGAAGGCAAAGCTCAGCACACAGAGGCTGCTGTGCTCTTACCCTGAGCCTTTCCCAAACTGGGGAAAGCTGAGAGCACCCATGGCAGTGGATAAACATCTTCTTTCCTATTTCCATCAGAGTAAGGCCAAGATTCCACAGTTTTATCTGTTTAAATGTCAATAGCTCACATCATTTCAGACATGCCAGGAAATGCAATTGCTGCACTGGAAGGGATGGGTGCAGTACAGGGAGCAGCCCTGTGTGGTCACAGCACACCCTGCACTGGCCTTTCACTCTGCTGCAGCCAAACAGGACCACGACAAATAAAACCAGAGTCCACTCCCACAGCACGTCAGGGAGAGGCTTGCTGATTATCTTTTAAATAAAAGCATCACTGCTACAATCCAAATTGTCACCTGGGCAGGAATTTTAGTTTAGCAAAGCAAAGCCCAGCTCGACCTCAGTCCAGCCAAACGTTGCATTTTTCAGACACACATTCGGATGAAATTTTCTGTCCTGCAAATACAAATGCCCCTGAACCACCACTGAGATTTCTGTTTTGAACTGGACCTCTAAGGCTGGTGCAGAGCCTTGTCTGCACTGAGGCTTGCACTGGAATCAGCTCCTGAGTATCTAAATCACATTCATTCACCTGCTCCATTTTTAGTGGTACATATTTAGGGAATCCATAAAGGCTACCTCTCCATGTTTGAGAGAGCTCTTTAATCTTCTCAGATATAGAGAACACTAAACCAGCTTTTGTTTCCCTAAAATGAAAGGCTTAGGATTTCACAAACAGGAAGCACAAAAGCAAAACCAAAATGGTTTACTATTTTAAACAGAGCTACTCCCTGCATAACACAGATCAATGTAGGAAATCCATTTTTTTATTATTCTTGGGGCTGATTGTTTACAGAAAATAAGCTTATATGCATGCATGATGTAATGATTTCATTTTCCTTTCTGAGCAAGGATTATGGGCCAGATTGAGAGAGCTCATGCACAAGGTGTCCATGAGGACAGAGGGTGAATGGAGTCTGAATCCTCCCAGGAGTCCATGGGGAAAGCTGAGGCATTCATGATGCCACTGCTGAAATCCACATCCCTGGCAGCACATCCTCAACCTGCACACACAGGGCAGCTTTTGACAGTGCAACACGAGGGATTTTATTCATAAACCATCCAATCAACTAAAAACACGAACCTAAAACATTCTTTCTACACCTATTATAACTGAAATTTAAAATAAGAAAGTAGTGCCAGTTCTTACACATAATTTACACATGCAGTTCTATCTATTCATGCAAATAGTTCTATCTGTTCTATCTAGAAATGCAAGCAATGCTCTGCTATGTTTTCATTATATCTGGAGCTAAGTTACTGAACTTTAAACTAGGCTTTAGGGCTTTTTACTCTCTTAAAGCACTTAAACTATATCCCCACTTACTTAAAACTGAGACATTTCCACTTCTTATCTCTGTGCTAAATAATATTCCTACTTAAAACTGAAACTTACACTTTTACTTCATGTCAGTGTGGTTTAATATATTTTAATTTCTCTAAAGGTTTGAATTCAATCCCTGCATTCTTTTCTCTCTCTCTCTCAGGGACTCAGAGAAGCTTCTATTTTAGACACTCCAACAGGGCTCTACACTCAAAACATGTCAAAGAACTGGTAGAGCAACACGACTTCTCTGCCTGCCCACTGGGGCAGCTGGGCTCCTAAAAGCCTGCAGAGCTTCCCTTGCAAAAGGATTTGTACTAACTGGGTCTGACTTCCACGTCCCTTTTATAAAAGTGGTCCCAAAGAGGATGCAAAGGACAGATTTTAATGTGATGGCTCATTGTGGGCTCTGCTGAAATGTTTATTCAGCAAATGAACGAATATGTTGTTGCAGTTCTGCCTTCCCAACTTGCTGGCACACACATCTTCACCCTGCCATGGTGAGAACTCAGAGGAGATGGGAAAAAATCTGCAGCTTCTGAAGCTGTGGGATGGAGAAGTGCTCAAGACACTAATGAAATTTTCAAGTTAGAACAGGATGCCTAGCTGTGACAGAGGAAGACAAAATTGGAATGATTTAAAGCCCAAGGCTGCCAGTAAAGAAGCATGTGAAGTTGTTTTTTTCCTGATAATATTCACAGGATTCTGCAAGGCAGAACTCAGTATAAAAGCCTGGCTTTATGCCAGGCCTAGATGGAGCATCTTGCTCCTGACAGCAGAGAGGTTTCCTTACCCCTCATGTTTGTGATTTGAGACAAACACTCTCGTTCTCAGCAAGGTCTGCTCTTGTCCCCAGGTCACCTTTGTGAAACAGCACAGAGGGAAGTTCACCTGAACTCTAGAAATGAAGTCAGGTAAGCCTTGAAAGATGCCTCTGCCTCCTGCTGCTGCTGCTCCTTTCTGCCCTCACCTGCCCCACGTCTGCAAGGTGGCCCCAGCCCCATTTCCTGCCACTCACAGCCCCAGGTGGGTGTGTGGGGGTTTTTTTGGGTGTAGAAATGCAAGAGGACTGAGAGATTTGTGCCACGGGAGAGAAGGGAAGGTGGGATTGAGTCAGGCTGCTGTGTCAGAGGAGGAGAACCAGGGCTAAACCTGGCAGCTATAGAGAAAAGGTTAATAAAGAAAAAAAAAAAAAAAAAAAAAGGGGGAAAAAAGAAGGAAATTGGATGGATCTTGGTGGAAAAAGAGGTGAGCTGGCCTCGATGTCCCTCTGTGGTGCTGGGAGACAGGGCAGCTGACACAGCCTGCTCTCTGAGGAGGATTTGGCACACAGATGAAGGAGTGAGGTGGCTCAGACAAATCTGCTGCTGCTTGAGCATCTGTTCCTTGTCTCCTTCAGAAAGGGGAGCAGGGTGACCCGGAGAGTGATGCCTGACAGGACAGATTTGCTCACAAGTAGCCTGTCAAGCCACAGGGTAACAAAAAAAACCCAACCCAACCCCAAGAAGACAAGTCCAGGATTTGCAGTAACTCACTGCAGGCTTAGCACCGAGCTGGTACAGAGGAGCAAAGCAGTTTAACTGATGATATCAGGATTATTTGTTAACAATTTGTCAATTATAAACATGTTAATAATTATAAAATTATTCATATGTTAATAATTTGTTAATAATTAATCCTGTTAATCATTTGGTTAATTTGTTTCCAAGTGCTCTGCTGGGATTTGTTACACAAAAGTGGTGCCTACCAGCACACACTTTGTAAACTCTGAATAAAGGTTTTTTGAATTCAGAGCCACTCCATGAAAACAAAATGCCTCAGGGGTGTGAGTGGGTGCTCGGGTACCTCCTGCTGCTGATCAGTCTTTGCTAAACCAAGGAAATCAATGTGCTTTGTTCTGAAGGCGAATTTCAGGTTTGTTTTCTGTTTTGCTAAGTTGGAGGCAGGACAAATCACAGAAGAAGAAAACAGTGGAACAAGACTGCTGCTCATTATGGCACTAATTACTTTAATATTATCCTCCCC